CCTCATTCATATTTTCTCTCTTGTTGAGATAAGTTCCTCTGCTGCCCATAGCTGTTCCTCATTCATATTTTCTCCTTTGCTGAGACAAGTTTCCTCTGCTGCCCATAGGCATCAAGACACTGTTCCTCATTCATATTTTCTCCCTTTCCTCTTGCCCATGCAGACACTGTTCTCATTAATATTTTTCCTTTTGCTGCTGCCTATAGCATGCACATTAACTGTTCCTCATTCATATATTTTCTCTCCTTTGCTGAGACAAGTTTCTCTCTGCTGCCCATAGCACTCATATTAACTGTTCCTCATTCATATTTTCTCTCCTTTGTTGAGATAAGTTTTGCTGCCCATGCACTGCACACTGTTCCTCATTCATATTTTTCTTCCTTTTGCTGAGATAAGTTTCTCTGCTGCCTATAGCATGCGCATACTGTTCCTCATTCATATTTTCTTTTGCTCAAAGTTTTGCTGCCCATAGCACTCAAGACACTGTTCCTCATTCATATTTTTTTCCTTTCTGCTGCCCATTGCATTGTTCCTCATTCATTTTCTTTCTCGAGACAAGTTTTCCTGCCCATAGCATATTTTCTCTCCATTTTTTCTCCTGAGTAAGTTTCTGCTGCCCATAGCACCGCACACTGTTCCTCATTCATATTTTTTCTCCTTTGTTGAGATAAGTTTCTCTGTTGCCCATCATTCATACTGTTTCATTCTCCTTTGCTGAGATAAGTTTCTCTGCTGCCCATAGCATTTTCGACACTGTTCTCATTCATATTTTTTCTCCTTTGCTGAGATAAGTTTCTCTGCTGCCCAGTAAGCATTAACTGTTCCTCATATTCATATTTTCTCTCCTTTTGCTGAGATGTTTTCTGCTGCCCATTCACACTGTTCCTCATTCATATTTTCTCCTTTGCTGAGATAAGTTTCTCTGCTGCCCATAGCACTGCGCACACTGTTCCTCATTCATATTTTCTCCTTTCTGAGATAAGTTTTCTGCTGCCCATAGCAAGCTTACACTGTTCCTCATTTTATATTTTCTCCTTTGCTGAGATAAGTTTCTCTGCTGCCCATAGCACTGCGCACACTGTTCCTCATTCATATTTTCTCTCCTTTGCTGAGATAAGTTTCTCTGCTGCCCATAGCACTAAGCATTAACTGTTCTCATTCATATTTTTCTCTCCTTTGCTGAGATAAGTTTTTGCTGCCCATTGCGCACACTGTTCCTCATTCATATTTTCTCCCTTTGCTGAGATAAGTTTCTCTGCTGCCCATAGCACTGCGCACACTGTTCTCATTCATTTTTTCTCCTTTGCTGAGACAAGTTTCTGCTGCCCATAGCACTGCACACTGTTGTTTCATTCATATTTTTCTCCTTTGTTGGAGATAAGTTTTTCTGCTGCCTTAGCACCATGCACACTGTTCCCTCATTCATATTTTCTCTCCTGAGATAAGTTTCTCTGCTGCCCATAGCACCGCACACTGTTCTCATTCATATTTTCTCCCTATGGAGATAAGTTTTGCTGAGATACACTGTGCTGAGATCCTGCACACTGTTCCTCATTCATATTTTCTCTCTCCTTTGCTGGAGACAAGTTTCTTGCTGCCCATAGCACCTGCGACACTGTTCTCATTCATATTTTCTCTCCTTTGCTGAGATAAGTTTCTCTGCTGCCCATAGCACTGCGCATAATTGTTCCTCATTCATATTTTTCTCTCCTTTGCTGAGACAAGTTTCTCTGCTGCCCATAGCATACACTGTTCCTCATTCATATATTTTCTCCTTTGCTGAGATAAGTTTTCTGCTGCCCATAGCATTCACACTGTTCCTCATTCATATTTCTCTCCTTTGCTGAGATAAGTTCTGCTGCCCATAGCACTGCGACACTGTTCCTCATTCATATTTTCTCTCCTTTTGCTGAGATAAGTTTCTCTGCTGCCCATAGCACTGTTGTTCATTCATATTTTCTCTCCTTTGCTGAGATAAGTTTCTCTGCTGCCCATAGCACTGCGCACACTGTTCCTCATTCATATTTTCTCTCCTTTGCTGAGATAAGTTTCTCTGTTGCCCATAGCACTGCGCATTAATTGTTCCTCACACTGTTCCTCCATTTGAGAGATATTTTCTGCTGCCTTTGCTGAGACAATTTTTCTCCTTTGCTCCATAGCTTCTGCTGCCCATAGACACTGTTCCTCATATTCATATTTTCTCTCCTTTTTGCTGAGATAAGTTTCTTGCCCATAGCACTGCGCACACTCTTTCCTCATTCATATTTTCTCCTTTCCTTGAGAGATAAGTTTCATGCCCATCATAAGCACACTGTTCCTCATTCATATTTTTCTTTGCTGAGACAAGTTTCTCTGCTGCCCATAGCACTGCACACTGTTCCTCATTCATATTTTTCTCCCTTTGCTGCCCATAGCAGACACACTTTTCTCATATATTTTTCCTGCTGAGACAAGTTTGCTGCCCATAGCACTGCGCACACTGTTCCTCATTCATATTTTTCCTTTCTCCTTGCTGCCCATAGCACTGGATACAGTTTCATTCATATTTTCTCCTGCTGCTGCCCATAGCATCAAGGCGCATAACCTTTTCCTCATTCATATTTTTCTCTTGCTTGAGACCTTCTGCTGCCCATAGCACTCATGACACTGTTCCTCATTCATATTTTCTCTCCTTTGTTGAGATAAGTTTCTCTGCTGCCCATAGCACATACGCACTGTTCCTCATTCATTTTTTCTCTCCTTTGCTGAGACAAGTTTCTCTCTGCTGCCCATAGCACTGTGCATACTGTTCCTCATTCATATTTTTCTCCTTTGTTGAGATAAGTTTTGCTGCCCATAGCACTGCGCACACTGTTCCTCATTCATATTTCCTTTGTTGAGATAAGTTTTCATGCTGCATACTGTTCCTCATTCATATTTTTCTCCTTGTTGAGACAAGTTTCTTTGCCCCTTTGCTATTAATTGTTCCTCATTCATATTTTCCTTTGCTGAGATAGTTTTCTTTGCCCATAGCACTGCACACTGTTCCTCATTCATATTTTCTCTCCTTTGCCCATAGCATGCGACACTGTTTCTCTTTTGCCCATGAGCAAGTTTGCCATGCCCATAGCACTGTTCACTCATTCTATTCATTTTCTCTCCTTTGCTGAGACAAAGCTGTTTCACTACACACTGTTCCTCATTCATATTTTCTCTCCTTTGCTGAGATAAGTTTCTGCTGCCCTCATTCACATTGTTCTCATTCATATTTTTCCTTTGTTGAGTTTTTCTCTGCTGCCCATAGCACTGCGCACACTGTTCCTCATTCATATTTTTCCTTTGCTGAGATCCTTTGCCCATAGCACCAAGCACACCAGTTCCTATTCTATTTTTCTCCTTAGACTTTTCTCTGCCCATAGCACAGCATCATTCATATTTCCTCATTCATATTTTTTCTCCTTTGCTGAGATAAGTTTTCTCTGCCCATAGCTATGCATTAATTGTTCCTCATTCATATTTTTCTCTCCTTTGCTGAGACAAGTTTCTGCTGCCCATAGCACTGCGCACACTGTTCCTCATTATATTTTTCTCCTTTGCTGTTTTTCCTGCCCATTGGGCGACACTGTTCCTCATTCTCTCCTTTGCTGAGACAAGTTTCTCTGCTGCCCATAGCACTCTTGCACACTGTTCCTCATTCATATTTTCTCTCCTTTTGTTGAGATAAGTTTCTGCTGCCCATAGCCCACTGTTCCTCATTCATATTTTTTCCTTTGTTGAGATAAGTTTCTGCTGCCTTAGCACTGCGCACACTGTTCCTCATTCATATTTTCTCTCCTTTTGCTGAGACAAGTTCTCTGCTGCCCATAGCACTGCGCACACTGTTCCTCATTCATATTTTTCCTTTCTTGAGATAAGTTTTTGCATAGCAGATAACTGTTCTCTCTTTATTCATTTTCTCTCCTTTGCTGAGATAAAGTTTTCTTCTGCTGCCCATAGCACTCAAGCACACTGTTCCTCATTCATATTTTCTCCTTTGTTGAGATAAGTTTCTGCTGCTGCCCATAGCAGCACAATTTCCTCATTCGTATTTTTCTCTTTTGTTGAGATGTTTCTGTTGCCTATAGCACTGCGCATTATTGTTCCTCATTCATATTTTCTCTCTCTTTCTGAGAGACATATTTTCTCTGCTGCCCATTTGCGCACACTGTTCCTCATTCATATTTTCTCCTTTTCAGATATTTTTCTGCTGAGCCCTCTGCTGCCCATAGCACTGCGACACTGTTCCTCATTCATATTTTCTCCTTTGCTGAGAAGTTTCTCTGCTGCCATAGCACTGCGCACACTGTTCCTCATTCATATTTTCTCTCCTTTGCTGAGATAAGTTTCTCTGCTGCCCATAGCACTGCGCACACTGTTCCTCATTCATATTTTCTCTCCTTTGCTGAGATAAGTTTCTCTGCTGCCCATAGCACTGCTATTAACTGTTCCTCATTCATATTTTTCTCCTTTGCTGAGACAAGTTTCTCTGCTGCCCATAGCACTGCGCGACACTGTTCCTCATTCATATTTTCTCTCCTTTGCTGAGATAAGTTTCTGTGCCCATAGCACTGCGACACTCCTCATTCATATTTTCTCCTTTTGCTGAGACAAGTTTCTCTGCTGCCCATAGCACGCATACTGTTCCTCATTCATATTTTCTCTCCTTTGCTGAGATAAGTTTCTCTGCTGCCCATAGCACTGCGCACACTGTTCCTCATTCATATTTTCTCTCCTTTGCTGAGACAAGTTTCTCTGCTGCCCATAGCACTGCGCACACTGTTCCTCATTCATATTTTCTCTCCTTTGCTGAGACAAGTTTCTCTGCTGCCCATAGCACTGCATTAATTGTTCTCATTCATATTTTCTCATTGTTGAGACATTTTCTCTGCTTTGTTGATTAATTGTTTCCTTTGTTGAGATAAGTTTTTGCCCATAGACCATGCACACTGTTCCTCATTCTCTCCTTTGCTGAGACAAGTTTCATGCCTACAGCAAGACACTGTTCTCATTCTCTCCTTGCTGAGACAAGTTTCTCTGCTGCCCATGTAGTCATTTGCAGACTGTTCCTCATTCATATTTTTCTCCTTGCTGAGATAAGCTTTTTCTGCTGCCTAGCAGCTGCGCACACTGTTCCTCATTCATATTTTCTCTCCCTTTTGCTGAGACAAGTTTTCTGCTGCCCATAGCACTGGCGCACACTGTTCCTCATTCATATTTTTTCTCCTTTGCTGAGATAAGTTTCTCTGCTGCCCATAGCTTTCTTTAACTGTTCCTCATTCATATTTTTCTCCTTTTGCTGAGACAAGTTTCTCTCATGCACTGCGTGACACTGTTCATTAATTGTTCCTCATTCATATTTTCATTCCTTTTGCTGAGACAAGTTTCTCTGCTGCCCATAGCACTTTCATTCATATTTTCTCCCTTTGTTGAGACAAGTTTTGCTGCCCATGATGACACTGTTCCTCATTCATATTTTCTCTCTTTGTTGAGAGAAAGTTTCTCTGCTGCCCATAGCACTGCGCAGACACTGTTCCTCATTCATATTTTTCTCTCCTTTGCTGAGATAAGTTTCTTGCTGCCCATAGCACTCAAAGACACTGTTCCTCATTCATATTTTCTCCTTTGCTGAGATAAGTTTCTGCTGCCCATAGCATCATGCACACACTGTTCCTCATTCATATTTCTCTCCTTTGCTGAGATAAGTTTCTGCTGCCCATAGCACTGCGCATTAACTGTTCCTCATTCATATTTTCTCCTTTGCTGAGATAAGTTTCTCTTTGCCCATAGCACTGCGCACACTGTTCCTCATTAATTTTCTCTTGTTGAGATATTCATAATTTTCTCATTCCTTTCCTTGAGATAAGTTTCTCTGCTGCCCATAGCACTGCGCACACTGTTCCTCATTCATATTTTCTCTCCTTTGCTGAGATAAGTTTTCTGCTGCCCATAGCACTGCCCACTGTTCCTCATTCATATTTTTCTCCTTTGTTGAGATAGTTTTCTGCTGCCCAGCACTGCGCACACTGTTCCTCATTCATATTTTCTCCTTTGTTGAGATAAGTTTCTCTGCTGCCCATAGCACTGCGACACTGTTCCTCATTCATATTTTTCTCCTTTTGTTGAGATAAGTTTCTGCTGCCCATAGCACTCATGCAGACACTGTTCCTCATTCATATTTTCTCTCTTTTTGTTGAGAGAAGTTTCTGCTGCCCATAGCACTGCCAACACTGTTCCTCATTCATATTTTCCCTTGCTGAGATAAGTTTCTTGCTGCCCATAGCACTATGACACTGTTCCTCATTCATTTTTCTCTCCTTTGCTGAGATAAGTTTCTGCTTAGCACTCGCGCACACTGTTCCTCATTCATATTTTCTCTCCTTTGTTGAGATAAGTTTCTCTGCTGCCCATAGCACTGCGACACTGTTCCTCATTCATATTTTTCTCCTTTGTTGAGATAAGTTTCTCTTGCTCATAGCACTGCGCACACTGTTCCTCATTCATATTTTCTCTCCTTTGCTGAGATAAGTTTCTCTGCTGCCCATAGCACTCATGCACACTGTTCTCATTCATATTTTCTCCTTTGCTTTTAAGTGTTCCTCATTCATATTTTCTCTCCATATTTTTGCTGAGATAAGTTTCTCTGCTGCCCATAGCACTCTTGCACACTGTTCCTCATTCATATTTTCTCTTTGCTGAGATAAGTTTTCTGCTGCCCATAGCTGCGCACACTGTTCTCATTCATATTTTCTCTCCTTTGCTGAGATAAGTTTCTCTGCTGCCCATAGCACTACTTACACTGTTCCTCATTCATATTTTCTCTCCTTTGCTGAGATAAGTTTTCTGCTGCCCATAGCACTGCGCACACTGTTCCTCATTCATATTTTTTCCTTTGTTGAGATAAGTCTCCTTTGCCCATGCATGCAACACTGTTCCTCATTCATATTTTCTCTCCTTTGCTGAGATAAGTTTCTCTGCTGCCCATAGCACTGCGCACACTGTTCCTCATTCTATTTTCTCTCCTTTTGCTGAGACAAGTTTCTCTGCTGCCCATAGCACTGGGCAGCACACTGTTCCTCATTCATATTTTTTCTCCTTTGCTGAGACAAGTTTCTCTGCTGCCCATAGCACTTTTCACTGTTCCTCATTCATATTTTCTCTCCTTTGCTGAGACAAGTTTCTCTGCTGCCCATAGCACTGCGCACACTGTTCCTCATTCATATTTTCTCTCCTTTGCTGAGATAAGTTTCTCTGCTGCCCATAGCACTGCGCACACTGTTCCTCATTCATATTTTCTCTCCTTTGCTGAGACAAGTTTTCTGCCCATAGCACTGCGCACACTGTTCCTCATTCATATTTTCTCCTTTGCTGAGATAAGTTTCTGCTCATCATGCACACTGTTCCTCATTCATTTTCTCTCCTTTGCTGAGATAAGTTTTCATTCATGCATTTTGACACTGTTCCTCATTCATATTTTCTCTCCTTTGCTGAGATAAGTTTCTCTGCTGCCCATAGCACTGCGCACACTGTTCCTCATTCATATTTTCTCTCCTTTGCTGAGATAAGTTTCTCTGCTGCCCATAGCACTGCGCACACTGTTCCTCATTCATATTTTCTCTTTTTATTGAGATAAGTTTCTCTGCTGCCCATATAGCACATGCGCACATTGTTCCTCATTCATATTTTCTCTCCTTTGCTGAGATAAGTTTCTCTCCCAACACTGTTCCTCATTCATATTTTCTCCTTTGCTGAGATAAGTTTCTCTGCTGCCCATAGCACTGCGCATTACACTGTTCCTCATTCATTTTTCTCCTTTGCTGAGACAAGTTTCTCTGCTGCCCATAGCACTGCGCACACTGTTCCTCATTCATATTTTTCTCTCCTTTGTTGAGATAAGTTTTCTGCTGCCCATAGCACTGCAAGCACACTGTTCCTCATTCATATTTTCTCTCCTTTGTTGGAGACAAGTTTCTCTGCTTGCCCATAGCACTGCACACTGTTCCTCATTCATATTTTCTCTCCTTTGTTGAGACAAGTTTCTGCTGCCCATAGCACTGACACTGTTCCTCATTCCTTGATAAGTTTTTGTTCCCTCATTCATATTTTCTTAGCACACTGTTCTCATTCATATTTTTCTCCTTGCTGAGATAAGTTTCACTGCGCATTAGCATGCGCACACTGTTCCTCATTCATATTTTTTCTCCTTTTGTTGAGATAAGTTTCTCTGCTGCCCATAGCACTGCGCACACTGTTCCTCATTCATATTTTCTCCTTTGCTGAGATAAGTTTCTGCTGCCCATAGCACCGCGACACTGTTCCTCATTCATATTTTCTCCTTTGATGAGATAAGTTTCTCTGCTGCCCATAGCACTGCTAACACTGTTCCTCATTCATATTTTTCTCCTTTGTTGAGACAAGTTTCTGCTGCCCATAGCACTGCGACACTGTTCCTTCATTCATTTTCTCCTTGTTGAGATAAGTTTTCTGCTGCCCATAGCACTGCGCACACTGTTCCTCATTCATATTTTCTCCTTTGCTGAGACAAGTTTCTCTTGCCCATAGCACTGCGCACACTGTTCCTCATTCATATTTTTCTCCTCCTTTGTTGAGATAAGTTTTCTGCTGCCCATAGCACTGCTACACTGTTCCTCATTCATATTTTCTCTCCTTTTGTTGAGATAAGTTTTCTGCTGCCCATAGCATCTGCATTAATTGTTCCTCATTCATATTTTTCTTTCCTTTGCTGAGATAAGTTTCTCTGCTGCCCATAGCACTCTCCTTTGTTCCTCATTCATATTTTTCCCTTTTGTTGAGATAAGTTTCTTTGCTGCCCATAGCAATCATGACACTGTTCCTCATTCATATTTTCTCCTTTGCTGAGATAAGTTTCTCTGCTCTTGCTGCCCATAGCATTTTCTCTCCTTTGCTGAGATAACACTGTTCCTCATTCATATTTTCTCTCCTTTGTTGAGATAGTTTCTCTGCTGCCCATAGCACCGCGCACACTGTTCCTCATTCATATTTTCTCTCCTTTGCTGAGATAAGTTTCTCTGCTGCCCATAGCACTGCACACTGTTCCTCATTCATTTTCTCTCCTTTTTTGAGATAAGTTTCTCTTGCTGCCCATAGCATCATGCACACTGTCTTCATTCATATTTTCTCTCCTTTGTTGAGATAAGTTTCTCTGCTGCCCATAGCACTGCGACACTGTTCCTCATTCATATTTTCTCTCCTTTGCTGAGATAAGTTTCTCTGCTGCCCATAGAATCATACAAGTGACACTGTTCCTCATTCATATTTTCTCTCCTTTGCTGAGAGATAAGTTTCTCTGCTGCCCATAGCACTGCACACTGTTCCTCATTCATATTTTCTCCTTTGCTGAGATAAGTTTCTCTGCTGCCCATAGCACTGCGCACACTGTTCCTCATTCATATTTTCTCTCCTTTGCTGAGATAAGTTTCTCTGCTGCCCATAGCACTGCGCACACTGTTCCTCATTCATATTTTCTCTCCTTTGCTGAGATAAGTTTTCTGCTGCCCATAGCACTGCACATTGTTCCTCATTCATATTTTCTCTCCTTTTGCTGAGAGATAAGTTTCTCTGCTGCCCATAGCACTGCGCAACACTGTTCCTCATATTCATATTTTTCTCTCCTTTGCACTGAGATAAGTTTCTTCATGCTGCCCATAGCACTGCTGCCTTACATTAATTGTTCCTCATTCATATTTTCTCTCCTTTGCTGAGATAAGTTTCTCTGCTGCCCATAGCACTGCGCACACTGTTCCTCATTCATATTTTCTCTCCTTTGCTGAGATAAGTTTCTCTGCTGCCCATAGCACTGCGCACACTGTTCCTCATTCATATTTTTCTCCTTTGTTGAGATAAGTTTCTCTGCTGCCCATAGCACTGCGCATAATTGTTCCTCATTCATATTTTCTCTCCTTTTGCTGAGATAAGTTTCTCTTGTTGCCCATAGCACTGCGCACACCACCTCATTCATATTTTCTCTCCTATGAGATAAGTTTCTCTGCTGCCCATAGCACTGCGCATTAATTGTTCCTCATTCATATTTTTCTCCTTTTGCTGAGATAAGTTTCTCTGCTGCCCAGTGCACTGCGCATACTGCCCCTCATTCATATTTTTCTCTCCTTTGCTGGAGATAAGTTTCTCTGCCCATAGCACTGCGACACTGTTCCTCATTCATATTTTCTCTCCTTTTGTTGAGACAAGTTTCTCTGTTGCCTAGCATCATGCAGACACTGTTCCTCATTCATATTTTCTCCTTTTGCTGAGATAAGTTTCTGCTGCCCATAGCACTGGCGCACACTGTTCCTCATTCATATTTTCTCTCTCCTTTGCTGAGATAAGTTTCTGCTGCCCATAGCACTGGGCGCACACTGTTCCTCATTCATATTTTCTCTCCTTTGCTGAGATGGGGTTTCTCTGCTGCCCATAGCACCTCGCGCACACTGTTCCTCATTCATATTTTCTCTCCTTTATGAGATAAGTTTCTGCTGCCTGTAGCATCATGCAGCATTACCCCCTCATTCATATTTTCTCTCCTTTACAGACAAGTTTCTCTGCCCATAGCACTGCGCACACTGTTCTCATTCATATTTTCTCTCCTTTGCTGAGATAAGCTTCTGCTGCCCATAGCACCGCGCACACTGTTCCTCATTCATATTTTCTCTCCCTTTGCTGAGATAAGTTTCTCTGCTGCCCATAGCACGCGACACTGTTCATTCATATTTTTCTCCTTTGTTGAGATAAGTTTCTCTGTTGCCCATAGCACTGCGCACACTGTTCCTCACACTGAGATAAGTTTCTGCTGCCCATAGCATCATACTGTTTCATTCATATTTTCCTCCTTTTGCTGAGATAAGTTTCTCTCTGCTGCCCATAGCACTGCGCACACTGTTCATTCATATTTTTCTCTCCTTTTGCTGAGATAGTTTCTCTGCTGCCCATAGCACTGCACACTGTTCTCATTCATATTTTTCTCCCTTGTTGAGACAAGTTTCTCTGCCCTTAGACCATGTGACACTGTTCCTCATTCATATTTTCTCCTTTGTTGGAGATAAGTTTCTCTGCATAGCCCATTAATTGTTCCCTAGCATTTTCTCCTTGCTGAGATAGTTTCTTCTGCTGCCCATAGCACTGTTCCTCATTCATATTTTCTCTCCTTTGCTGAGATAAGTTTCTCTGCTGCCCATAGCACTGCGCACACTGTTCCTCATTCATATTTTCTCTCCTTTGCTGAGATAAGTTTCTCTGCTGCCCATAGCACTGCGCACACTGTTCCTCATTCATATTTTCTCTCCTTTGCTGAGATAAGTTTCTCTGCTGCCCATAGCACTGCCAACACTGTTCCTATTCATATTTTTTCTCCCTTTGCTGAGATAAGTTCTTCTGTTGCCCATAGCACTCATGCACACTGTCCTTTCATTCATATTTTCTCCTTTTGCTGAGACAAGTTTCTCTGCTGCCCATAGCACATGCAAGACACTGTTCCTCATTCATATTTTCTCCTTTGTTGAGATAAGTTTTCTCTGCTGCCCATAGCACTCAAAAACATTAATTGTTCCTCATTCATATTTTCTCTCCTTTGTTGAGATGCGCACACTGTTCTCATATTCCATAAGTTTTCTGCTGCCCATAGCACTGCGCACACTGTTCCTCATCATATTTTTTCTCCTTTGCTGAGACAAGTTTCTCTGCCTGCCTAGCACTGGCATTAATTGTTCTCATTCATTTTCTCTCCTTTGCGGTGCCCATAGCATATGCACACTGTTTCTCCTCCTTGTTGAGACAAGTTTCTCTGCTGCCCATAGCACTGCGCACACTGTTCCTCATTCATATTTTCTCTCTTTGTGAGACAGTTTCTCTGCTGCCCATAGCACTGCTATTAACGTTCTCACACTGTTCTTCATACTGTTTATTCATATTTTCTCTCCTTTTTTGCTGAGAAGTTTCTCTGCTGCCCATAGCATCATGCACACTGTTCCTCATTCATATTTTCTCTCCTTTGCTGAGATAAGTTTCTGCTGCCCATAGCACTGCGCATTACTGTTCCTCATTCATATTTTCTCCTTTTGCTGAGATAAGTTTCTTCTGCTGCCCATAGCACTGCACACTGTTCCTCATTCATATTTTTCTCCTTTGTTGAGATAAGTTTCTCTGCTGCCCATAGCACTGGCAAAGACACTGTTCCTCATTCTTATTTTTTCTCCTTTGTTGAGATAAGTTTTCTGCTGCCCATAGTGCATCATGCACACTGTTCCTCATTCATATTTTCTCTTTGTTCCTTTGCCCATAGCACTGAGACACTGTTCCTCATTCATTTTCCTTATTTTCTCCATGAGATAAGTTTCTCTGCTGCCCATAGCACTGCGCACACTGTTCCTCATTCATATTTTTCTCCTTTGTTGAGATAAGTTTTCTTGCTGCCCATAGCACTCCGCGCATTAACTGTTCTTTCATTCATATTTTCTCCTTTCCTGAGACAAGTTTCTGCTGCCCATAGCACTGCGCATAATTGTTCCTCATTCATATTTTTTCTCCTTTGTTGAGATAAGTTTCTGCTGCCCATAGCACTGCGACACTGTTCCTCATTCATATTTTTCTCCCAAGTTTTTGTTGCCCATAGCACTGCGCATACTGTCATCATTCATATTTTCCTTTACATAAGTTTCTTCCATGTCTATAGCACTGGGCGACACTGTTCCTCATTCATATTTTCTCTCCTTTGCTGAGATAAGTTTCTCTGCTGCCCATAGCACTGCATTAATTGTTCCTCATTCATATTTTCTCTCCTTTGTTGAGATAAGTTTTTCTGCTGCCCATAGCACCGCGCACACTGTTCCTCATTATATTTTCTCTCCTTTGTTGAGATAAGTCTCTGCTGCCCATAGCACTGCGCACACTGTTCCTCATTCATATTTTTTCCTTCTTTTTGTTGAGTTCTCATTATTTTTCTTTTCTGCTGCCCATAGTTCCTCATTCATATTTTCTCCTTTTGCTGAGGCTTGCTGCTCATAGCACATGCATTAATTGTTCCTCATTCATATTTTTCTCCTTTGCTGAGACAAGTTTCTCTGCTGCCCATAGCACTGCGCACACTGTTCTCATTTATATTTTTCTCCTTTTGTTGAGATAGTTTTCTGCTGCCCATAGCATCATGCATACTGTTCCTCATTCATATTTTCTCCTTGCTGAGACAAGTTTCTCTGCTGCCCATAGCACTGGGTGCACACTGTTCCTCATTCATATTTTCTCCTTTGGTTGAGATAAGTTTTCTGCTTGCCCATAGCACTGCACACTGCTCATTGTTCCTCATTCATATTTTTCATTCATTTTCCTTTGCTGAGATAAAGTTTCTCTGCTGCCCATAGCACCATGCACACTGTTCCTCATTCATATTTTCTCTCCTTTGTTGAGATAAGTTTCTCTCATGCCCATAGCACTGGCGCATACTGTTCCTTTCATTCATATTTTCTCCTTTGTTGAGATAAGTTTCTTGCTGCCCATAGCACTGCGAGACACTGTCTTCATTCATATTTTTCTCCTTTTGCTGAGATAAGATATGCCTATAGCTGACACTGTTCCTCATTCATTTTTTCTCTTTTTGCTGAGATAGTTTCTGCTCATAGCACTGGCGCACACTGTTCCTCATTCATATTTTCTCTCCTTGCTGAGACAAGTTCTCTGCTGCCATAGCACTGGCGCACACTGTTCCTCATTCATATTTCTCCTTTGTTGAGATAAGTTTCCTTTGCCCTGAGCATGGCGCACACTGTTCCTCATTCATTTTCTCTCCTTTGTTGAGAGTTTTCACTGCCTATAGCACTGCGCACACTGTTCCTCATTCATATTTTTCTCCTTTGTTGAGATAAGTTTCCTGCTGCCCATAGTACCGCGCATTAATTGTTCTCATTCATATTTTCTCTCCTTTGTTGAGATAAGTTCTCTGCTGCCCATAGCACTCATGACACTGTTCTCATTCATATTTTTTCTCCTTTGTTGAGATAAGTTTGCTGCCCATAGCATCATGAGACACTGTTCCTCATTCATATTTTCTTTCTCCTTTGCTGAGATAAGTTTTCTGCTGCCCATAGCACTGCAAGACACTGTCCCTCATCCATATTTTCTCCTTTGTTGAGATAGTTTCTCTGCTGCCCATAGCATCATGCATTACACCACCTCATTCATTTTTTCTCCTTTGCTGAGACAAGTTTCCTCTGCTGCCCATAGCACTGCGTGACACTGTTCCTCATTCATATTTTCTCCTTTGCTGAGATAAGTTTCTCTGCTGCCCATAGCACTGCGCATACTGTTCCTCATTCATATTTTTCTCCTTTCCTGAGACAAGTTTCTTGCTGCCCATATAATTCATGCATTAATTGTTCCTCATTCATATTTTTCTCCTTTGCTGAGATAAGTTTCTGTTGCCCATAGCATCATGTACACTGCATTCATATTTTCTCTCCCTTTGCTGGAGATAACAGCACTGCACACTGTTCCTCATTCATATTTTCTCTCCTTTGCTGAGACAAGTTTTCTGCTGCCCATAGCATTATACACTGTTCCTCATTCATATTTTCTCTCCTTTGCCTGAGATAAGTTTGCTGCCCATAGCACTCCATGAGACAAGTTTCTCTGCTGTCGGCACTGGCGCTACCCGTTCCTCATTCATATTTTCTCCCTTGTTGAGATAAGTTTCTGCTGGCCCATAGCACTCAAGCGCATTAATTGTTCCTTTCATTCATATTTTCTCCTTTGCTGAGATAAGTTTCTCTGCTGCCCATAGCACACTGTTCCTCATTCATATTTTCTCTCCTTTTGCTGAGATAAGTTTCTCTGCTGCCCATAGCATCGCGCACACTGTTCCTCATTCATATTTTCTCTCCTTGCTGAGATAAGTTTTCTCTGCTGCCCTATAGCACTGCGCACACTGTTCCTCATTCATTTTTTCTCCTTTTGCTGAGACAAGTTTCTGCTGCCCATAGCATCATGACACTGTTCCTCATTCATATTTTTTCCTTTAAGGAGATAAGTTTCTCTCCTCCATTGTTGAGATATTTTTCTCCTTGCTCATGTGCCCATAGCACTGCACACACTGTTCTCATTCATATTTTTCTCCAAGTTTTTTGCTGAGATATTTTCTCCTTTGTTGAGATAAGTTTCTGTTGCCCATAGCACTGCACACACTGTTCCTCATTCATATTTTTCTCCTTTTGTTGAGATAAGTTTCTCTGGTTGCCCATAGCACTGCGCATTAACTGTTCCTCATTCATATTTTCTCTCCTTTGTTGATAGATAAGTTTCTCTGCTGGTTGCCCATAGCATTGCGCACACTGTTCCTCATTCATATTTTTCTCCTTTGCTGAGACAAGTTTCTCTGCTGCCCATAGCACTATGCACACTGTTCCTCATTTATATTTTCTCTCCTTTGTTGAGATAAGTTTTCTTGCTGCCCATAGCACTGCGCACCCTGTTCCTCATTCATATTTTCTCCTTTGCTGAGATAAGTTTTCTGCTGCCCATAGCACTGCGCACACTGTTCCTCATTCATATTTTCTCTCCTTTTGTTGAGACAAGTTTCTCTTGCCATAGCCAAGCATAATTGTTCCTCATTTATATTTTTCTCTCCTTTTGCTGAGATAACTGCCCATAGCATTCATACATTGTTCCTCATTCATATTTTTTCTCCTTTGTTGAGACAAGTTTCTCTGCTGCCCATAGCATCATGCACACTGTTCCTCATTCATTTTTTCTCCTTTGCTGAGACAAGTTTTTGCTGCCCATAGCACTGCGACACTGTTTCATTCATATTTTCTCCTTTTGCTGAGACAAGTTTCTGCTGCCCATAGCATCAATGCACACTGTTCTCATTCATATTTTCTCTCCTTTGCTGAGATAAGTTTCTCTGCTGCCCATAGCAAGTGCACACTGTTCCTCATTCATATTTCTCTCCTTTGTTGAGATAAGTTTCTCTGTTGCCCATAGCACTGCGCGACACTGTTCCTCATTCATATTTTCTCCTTTGCTGAGACAAGTTTCTCTGCTGCCCATAGCACTGCTTATTAATTGTTCCTCATTCATATTTTTCTCCTTTGTTGAGACAAGTTTCTGCTGCCCATAGCACTGGCGCACACTGTTCCTCATTCATATTTTTCTCCTTTGTTGAGACAAGTTTCTCTGCTGCCCATAGCACTTGCTGGAGAGACACTGTTCCTCATTCATATTTTCTCTCCTTTGTTGAGATAAGTTTCTTCTGCCCATAGCACTGCTGACACTGTTGTTCCTTATTCATAGCACACTGTTCCTCATTCATATTTTCTCCTTTGTTGAGACAAGTTTCTCTTGTTCCATTCATTCATATTTTCTCTCCTTTTGTTGAGATAAGTTTCTCTGCTGCCCATAGCACGCGCACACTGTTCCTCATTCATATTTTTTCTCCTTGCCTCTGCTGCCCATAGACTGTTCCTCATTCATATTTTTCTCTTTTGCTGGAGATAAGTTTCTCTGCTGCCCATAGCACTGCACACTGTTCCTCATTCATATTTTCTCTCCTTTGCTGAGACAAGTTTCTCTGCTGCCCATAGCACTGCGCACACTGTTCCTCATTCATATTTTCTCTCCTTTGCTGAGATAAGTTTCTCCGCTGCTCATGGCACTGTGCACGCTGTTCCTCATTCATATTTTCTCATCTTATTTGTTGTCTCCTCCTATCTTGCTGTAGGTGTTCCATGCATTGTTCACCCTCCATTGAAGCACATCTCAACTGCTGGTATTGCCTGTCTCTTTCTAGGAATTCCTGCCTCTACTCTTCCATTATCCTCCATCTATAGAGCATCATTTTCATGTCAGCAGCATCGAGTTTTTATTGTTGGTTCATGATGAATGCAGTTTACAAACACAAAACCTTCACTTTTTTGCGATACCCAAAGTTTAAAATGAATTTTTATAAACAGAAAAGCTTTTCTTTTTATGTTTAATTGAAAGCTAAAGGATTAAATTTACTATTTCCAGTAAACATAATAGTCTGCTGTATATTTGAAATAGAACATATGATTTCAATTGATTTTGTAGGGTGCTTGTAAAATCAACCATTTTTTTACATATTCACAGATTTGTAAACAAAAGTTAATTTCAGTTTTAAAAAATCTTGAAAAAAAAATATTACTAAAATTGCAAAACACTAATTTCAAATGCAAATGAAATAAAGTTTAAAATAATTAAATGAAACATTAGATTTAAAAATGAAATTCAAGGTTTCAAAACAACTCTAAATAAAATAAATTAATAAAAAAAAGAAAAGTAAATTAAAAACTAAAAAAAAAATTATAAAATAAGAGTTAAATATAAAACTAATTTGAAAGGAAATTGCAAAATTACATGCAAATAAAAAAAATAAGAATTTCAAATAGAAATTTAATTAGAAAGATAAGTTAAAATAAAAATTATTTTTTCTACAATTAGGATCTAATTAGTTAATGAAACTAAAAATAAAATTAATTAATTGAAGTATGATACTCTAAAATAAAATAAATACATAAATAAAAAATACTTTAATGAAAAAGGAATTCAAAAAGTAAAACATGTTTTAAAATTTTGAAGGATGATTTTCAAAATCTGTTGAGACACAATGAAATGCAGAAATGAAATGAATGAATTCTTGTCAAAAAAAAGTTGAGTGGGTTTTTACCCAGTAAGGAAATTCAGGGTTTCAAAACAACTCTGATAAGTTAAAGCAAAAACTATTTTTTCTAGAAGTAGGTTCTAATTAGCAAGAAGAAGAGAATCTTTTAAAACATGTGACCTTTTTAACGATAATGTCATTTAGAGGCCACCCTAAAAATTCTATGAGGCCAATTTAATTTTTTTTTGAAATTTTATGGACTGTTATATTTTTTTGAAAATCATTGGCAATTGTTGACAGCAAAGTGAGATGGGTGGGTGAGTGTATTTCTTTGAAAATCACCACCAGTGAGACGCTGAATACAGATTAGGACTGAAGAGTGTAACGGATAGACAAAGTAAGTAAATAAGGAAGGAACAAGCATAATTACAATAAGATAATAAAATCTTATAATTACTGTTGCACCGGCCTCTAACACAAGGGAATTACACCGTTCTTACTATATATAGTGCCAGTAATACCTACCTGGTGTAAGCATTTACAGTACTACAACTGCCTAGCTGAGTAGTACCTGCTTCCTACCTTTTGTATCTGTGATGTTAAATACACTTGTTCTTTAAACCAACTTCGATTTTGATTTTCTTATTTTTTACTATTGTGCCATGACACAACAATTACCTATTATTTTTTTTTTAGGTTTTAAAATGTCAATTTTTTTCTCCAACTTGATGATTTTACTGCTCAGCCCCCAGTTGGGGTTGTTCAGACTGAGTAGGAAGGAAACGATTACACCAATGTCTTTCAGAACACAGTCAAATAAATTGTGTGGGTGTACATACATACATACATATACATTAAATGGTACAAGCACACAACAAACATATGCCTATATATTACATACACACAAAGTGATGCAGAGACAGTAAAAGTGATGGACAGAAAATCAGCTCTTCTTTTATAATATTGATTATTTGAATTTCATTTCATCTGCCAAATTTTCCATCTGAAAAAATCACAGAAAGAATGAGTTCAATCATTCAAACATCTTATGGAACAATAATGATATGAGATTTTAAAAATAAATAAATTCATGTTGTGTTACTCACCCTCATTAGGAAACTCAAGTCTATAGTCATAAATTTCTGACAAATTTTGAATTTCCATAGCTGGTGGATTGTCTAAGTTTCTGAATAAATTATCACTGCTAGTTATCCGGGGCAACACCTTTTCGACGTTTTTTTTTTTCAATGCCATCTTCATCTGGAATAGAAAGTAAAAATTCAGATAATAATTGTAACAGGGCCATGGCCCTGATTGAGTCATAATTCATGAAATGTTTAGTGACTTGAGATTGAGAGTTAAGATTTCAGTGAAGGAATAAAAATACTAAGTGGAAACAAAATATAAAAAGTTAATTGACCATATTGGAGCCTGATAGAACATGGTTTGGTTTAAAAATATTAACCAGAACCTATAAAATGCTTATTAGGAAGGCATCAGTAGGAATTAACCCCCCAAAAAAAAAAACCTAGTAAGATTTAGTAAATTCAGTACACCTGAACTTTTCTTACCCTACTTCTCATCTCAGAGGAAGTTGTGACAGGATTAATGCATTAGGGCACTAAAACTAACTATTCCTTGGGATACTGGTGGTCTCACCCAGGCTGGCATTATCAAGAACAAGATGGGCCAAAGGTCAATGGGTGAGGCTGTTGGTGTCCTTTCCTGACCATGTTCAAGTCAGTTTCCAAACCCCTACTAATGGCTCTCTGGTTAGCAAGTTTGAATGCCCGGTGCTTGAGATTAGAGTCTCATAGGATTTTCAGTGTGTTGGGGTGATGTATGCTGTTTACAGGAGACCTGGTTTTCAACTCACAATCATGAGAACATTCTGTCTAAGGGGTTTATCTTCTATTCACAGCATGGACGCTTGAGAGGTGTTTCCTGATTTGTGAACATATCTGTGGGTGCAGCATGTGCTCTTGTTTTCAGATCTGGCAGGCAGGCTTTGCGTGCTGGATATTACCATAAAGGATAAGGCTCTTCATCTCATTGGGGTTTATGTGATCAATGTGCATGCAGAGTGGCCTGATTTGTTGACATCACCTTCAGCAGCTTTAGCAGGTGATTGGAATGCCATCCTTGATCTCAGTATAGATCGGATAGGGGAAAGATTAGCTACTAACAACCTGGATATTAATTCATTTTATCCACGGGTTTGATCTTGTTGATAAGTACCAAAATGAACACCTGTGGCAGGTAGTATGGACTGGATTAAGAGTGGCAGCTCAGATTCGTGGGCATTGTAGCTACATCAACAGTCCTAGTTAAGACAGTCAATATAGAACTTTTTAAGTTGCCTGTGTTTCCATGATATAGTTTACTCAGATCATAGGCTTGTCAGAGTTTGTGTAAACTAAGGCTAATGGCTGGTTCCTGGAAATTCAACGTATCATTATTTGGTGAGCAAGATTTTGGGACCATCTACTACTAATGTTACAGTGGAATTGACGGGGCTGTGGTTGGGAATAAGTGGTGGGATCATTTAAAATCCAAACTTAGGTCTTTTGCTGCTGATTTTAGTTGCCAACTCAATCTAGCAGGATTAGCAGAACAAAAAGCATGTATAAATAAAGTAGATTGGGTGATCAAATCCTGGGGATGTAACCTTAGGTAAGGTGGAGCTGGCCTCCTTGCTTATCAAGAAGGATCAAGCTCTAGTAGTTAAAAAGAATGTCTTCTGAGGCAATGAACATGGCTGCTGAATTGCATACAGATGAAGCTCAAATGGCATCCAGTTGACATATCGTGAGCATCACATTGCTGGACAAATGACTACACATGCAGGCATATGCGAAGTCTTTCCAAGATTACTTTCAGGAGCTGTTTACCAGGGAGCCCAGTCTGAGACCTGGAAGTGAATGGAGTAAGATTGGAACCTTTTGTATTGTCTCATTCCATTCATCAAGGTTGTCTGCTTTCATCTTTGCTGTACATTTTTGCATTGGAGCCATTCCTTCTCAAGTTAAAGATGAAGCTGATCCTATGCAAAATTTCCCTATCTGGTGCTACCACCTCAGGCAGGTATTCTGCCTATGCTGATGATATTTGGTTCTTATGTCAAGCAGAGGTGAAACTGACAAAGTCAGCAGGTAAATAAGAGGGTATGAGATGGTGGGGGGGCCAGCATCAACCACAATAAATCAGTTGGCTTGTGGTTGGATTCATGGAGGTGTTTCTCTTCCCAGACCTTTTCCTTTGAAATGAACTGGTCAGAGATGAGGAAAAAAGCAGAGGTTGCAATTTGTCTGTGGTTCCAGAGGAATCTTTCCTTGAAGGGAGGGGGAAGCATGTGGCTCACACATCTACACAAGTCTCCTTTAACAACTCTCCATACTTCCACTCCTGTCTGCCATTTAAATGGGTTTTATAAGGCTCTTTTTCCTTCTTGTGGGGAGATAAGGCCCCAAGGTATGTTGCAATGTCTGTTACTTTCACTCTTCTGAGCATGGTCTGGGTATGTTTTGCATTGAGATTCATCCACATACACTTTGCATCTCTTACATAGACTGGATGTGTTTGTAATTGGATGAGAACAAGTGAATTCTGGAAGGAAGATGTTTGTAAGAACTTTCCATCCTTGAGATGTATGCTCATGCAAGGAGGAGGCCGGTTGTTTACCTTTGAGGCAAGGGCTCCTTCTACTGCAAATGTCAGCTTACACTCAAGTACCTCTTATGGGCAACAGATGGCCCTCCAACATCCAGCTATTAGGTGGTGGGGGGCATTCACAATGATTTGATAGGTGATCTGGGTCTGACGAAGAAGGAGGCTCATTTCATATGGCGTTATTGTCTGGGTTGAAATGCCTCACTAATACTGTGGCATCGCTCAACTGACTGGTGATTCAAGGAGCCCTCTGAGTTGGCAACAAACTTTGTTTGCTGCAGTGAGGCAGTGGAGACCCCTAGGGCATGTCTTCTTTCATTGCAAGGTTGTAGGTCCATTGTGCAAGTCTGTTGAAGACATCATGGTTTGTATGCTGCGTGAAAAGTTCTTTTGTTCTCGAGGCCAGTTCTATTTGTAGCAATATTGTACTGCTGTTGACTAAGACTAATCACTATGTGTTCTTTTGCTTACTAGGTATTATGCAAGTCATGATATGGATGACACAACAGAAGGAATTCCATGGAGATGAGAACTGATCCTGTTCTTTAGGCTTCAGCTCAAAGTCAAGATTAGGACGAAAGGAAACAACTCCATCCATTATAATTTGGCAAAAGGCAGGTGAGTTTTGCATGTTTGTGCCAAGTGAAAAGTGCTGATTTGGAGTAGCATTTTGATGCTGGTTAGGCATTAAAGATTTTGGAATTGCTGGATTGAACATTGGCAACCTAGCCCAGAAGAGGTTAGTTTAGGTTTGTGTTTTCTTTAGTTTTTAGTTTTTCTTTGTCCAAGTTAACTTAGCTAGAGGATGTATACTCATTGGGCCCTTTTATTTTATCCCCACTTTCTTTGTTTAATCCCCTCTTCCCTCTCCTGTTAAGTGACCAGAGATGTCAGTTATATGGTGGATGCAGGATGCCTTTTGCTTTTCAGGTGTGATTTTTCATATTCGTCGTGTTTAGGTGAGGGTGTGTTTCTGTGTGTGTTAGGTCAACTGAGTGATTTTTTAAGTTCTGCATTAATTTTGTTGAGTTAACTGATGTTTCTTCCACATTTAGTGATTTGGGGGATGGTTATTACTAATTCTGTTTTGTTTTGTTTCTTGTAAATAAGTCTTGTTTACCATTGTAAATATTCATTAGGGTTTATAAATTTTTAAAAGTCGTTTTTGTATTCCAGGCCCTCACAGACAAATTTGTCCATATAAGAACCAGTTAGGACTTCACAGAGTCTCTGTGGTGTTATGGTGATTATAGTAAAAATGGTAAGTAAGACCAGCCTTACCCTTTTCCTCAGTGTTGGCCTTGTGCCTTATTTGTACTCATGTGCAATAAATATTAACATTTTTCTGTTGTTTTGTTTTCTGTTGCTGTCACTCTGTCGATTCAGCAAGATCCTGTTTTAACAGTGGGGATGGGGTGCAGGCAGAAAAAACAGGTAAATCCTACTATTCATTATTTGCATTACTCACCTGGATTCTGTGGATAATAAGTAAATACTTTTGGTTCACTACACTCTTCATCTGATGGTCGTTCAAGTTTAATAAGCACTTTCACAGGATCTTTAATTTTTACATTTCGGTATTCTGAGTTTTAAAAACAATTGCATACTGCAAAAGAAAAAAAATATCTGATAGGATCTTTAATAAATGTAGATTGATCATAAGTTTCTGTTAAGCTGTCAATTTGTTAAGGCACTTAAAATGTAGATACAAATACTAGTATAATTCACTAAATATCTTTTGTCTGTCATCACATAAATCAAAGAACTATGGTTACCAAATTTTTTATGGTTACTAACAGCACTCTAAAAGTATGATTTTAGCATATTATCTGGAATGTTATCCTCATCTTCATTGATATATTCACAATGTTTCAGTTGTTGTACGCTCTGGCCTTCTTCAGGTTATTGAATTTCAAACTGAACCCTTTATTTTGTAAACATGGGTAGATTGTTCCAGTTCCATGTGCCATGCCTCTTCCAGATGTCTCAGTTATTTCCTTTAACTCAACTCTTCAAGTTTTTGGTTCACCACTGCTGTGATCTGTATTGAATTCACAACTCTTTGGGTCCAGTCACTGGATCTAACCAATGTCTTTATCTACTGGACCATGTTTTAGAAAATCCCAAAGCTTTTTAAATATTTTGCAAAGGATTTGATTTACAATGTAAGTAAAATCGGTGGCATAAATACCCCTCACATAATGGTAACACATTAGTGGAAAATAGTGTCTTCATTTAGCTAATGTCTTACTATTATGTGGGAGGTTTCTGTCACACCATGTATAATGCTAATCTGGACCCCTATTTTATGCCCATCAAATTAGCTGAAACAAATTTTTATTATCTTGTTTAAACATATAAAGGGGACATACAGATTAAAACTTCCCTAAGTTAAATATTTCAAGTTTTTATTAAGGGGTTTGGTCTACAACGTAAATATAATTCCAAACTGGATTCTTACTTTGTGTCCATCAATTTAACTGAACCAAATCTTTTGTTTAACTGTATAAAGGAGATGTTTAAATTAAACCTTCCTCAGACAAAATATTTTATGTTTTTAGCAAGGAGTTTGATTTTTAATATAAGTATAATCCTTTTCTAATTGCAGTGACTAATGAACAATTTTTCAAAAGCCTACCAAGACTTCAGTCTGACCATCAGTCTGTAGAAGACCAACATGATGGGCCAATACATTAAAAAGGCTCCAACCATCAAAATCAACAACTATGACGCAGAGGTGGTTCATGAATTCACATACCCCAGTGCACCTCAAGGCGGCATAATGGTTAAGCAAGCTTATCTCGCTAAAACAATTACGACTGAGTAGTGAGTTCGATCCTCACATGGTGCCCCATACTTTCGGCTTCGTGCCACATCTAAGCTACGCTTGGAAAATCACTACCTCAGCGCCATCATTTCAGACACCCTCTCCCTAGACACTGAGGTCAACCTTTGGATTTTCTCATTTTGACTTTGGAAATTCTCATTTTGAATTTGTATTGCTATAGACTGGTGGTGAGATCTCATCAATTTACAGTTGAGCTAGGTAGATGGGCCGTAACTTCTATGCTGACAGTTTCTTTTCTTGTTTGTGGAACTCCTTTCTAGCTCCATGCTTTCCAGCCAACATTAATCTGCAAAAATTTAAATGCAATGTCAATCACTATCTACTCCCCTCCTGATTACTCTTTTCTCTTTCTACTCATTACTAACATTTCAGTTTCTAATCCCTCCACACCATATGACCCTTTATGTGTTAGTGGCTGCACCCACTTGCTTGGGGTGATACCAATTTAAAAAAAAATAGTTTTACCAAACTAGCTGAGCTCTGTTTAAACTCTTTTAGGGTCACAGGGCTCCCATGGAGCATCATGGTCTGTTGCTTCCATCTTTCCAAGGGCAATTGAGGGATACAAAATACTGACATTTCCTAAGCTGGATGTATATACAAGATGGTGTAATATGGAGATTTTAGAAAGGAGATTCCAAGAAAGCTTTTGTGGCTTCAAGAAGCACATTGCCTCAAAATGAGGGTTTCTCCTGCTATGAATGATATTGTTTTTTCATGTATAGACTGATGTTACTGATAGTCATTGAAAAGAAAAACATTATTTCAGGTTCAAGTAAAGAGAACCATGTAAGATCACTTGACCATGAAACTTTAGTACTACTCACCATGACCTTTGGGAATCTAAGCTGAAATAACTCAATAACAACACTCACCTGGCTGGTGATGCAAATTCTGCACTGAGACAAAAAAATGTTTGCAATGCAACTGGTTTCTTCACCAGACTGTGTCCAATGCAGAGATTTCTAGGAAACTATTACATGTCTTCTTTCACTGCACAGTCATACATCCACTGTGTAGGCTTATTAAAGGTTACATGGTTCTTGTGATTTTTTTTTTAGCATTGAAAACCGGTTCTGTTGTTTAGCAACTTAGGTTAATTGTTTGAGAAGAATCACTCTGTGATGCAAATGGTAATATGGGAATTCAAATGAAGAAAGTCCATGACGATTTGTTTTTTCTCTTACCATCCAGTTGGCAACTTTAAGCATCAGCTTAAGGTTAAAATCAGAGTATAGTGCAAGAGGATGTCCAATTTGTTATCTTTGCTCAATCTGGAAACCCAGCAATGGTATACACTTGCCAGTTTGCTTGAGAGGAATATTGCTATTTTTTTTTATTTTTCTGTTAACTTTCAAAAAATTAAGTAAAATTCAAAGATCCAAATGAAAGATTTTCTTACTTATATTCATTTTTCTTTTCAAAGTAGTAGAAAAATATATTTGCTCAGGTTTGAATATAACTAATTCTGACAAGTAAATTATTATAATAATGGGATTAATGACAGCAATGCAAAGAAAACAAATATGCTTGTTTTGTTTGTGAACATCTGTGGGCCCAAAATTGGCTTCTTTTTTCCAAATGACTTTTTGATCATGATCTACCTCTATAAACACTACTCTTATATCATCTGAAATTGGAAAGAGACAATAAAAAGTGAGTTGACAAATTTGACAATTTTATCAAGAATAGAGGATTATATTACAAGTGATTAAGATATCTTAAGTTTGGTGCCTTTTTCTTGGGTTTGAGTTGTTCACTGATTTTAATAAATGAGTAAACACATCAGTATGTTTAAGAGAGGAAAAGAAATGAGAAATTGAGAATTAATTTAAAAACATTTTTAACTTTTACAAATTATACAAAAATAATCTGAATGAATATATATATATATATATATATATATATATATATATATATATATGTGTGTGTGTGTATACAAGAATGAGTTTTACCTTTGTAGACCCTTTAAAAATGAAGGCACTATGGCAATTTTTAGAATTGCAAAATTTATATTTTTATTTATAAAAAGTAATATTAACATAAAGTCTTTAAAAATTGATAAAATAAAGAAAAACTTTTAAAATCAAATATTTTTATTGACAAGTAACAGATTATGATGACTAGAATTATTAGCAATGATAAATTGCAGTGGAACATATTCAAAAAGAAATCAAAGATTACAACATTATTAGCTTAGAATATGTTGTGGAAAAGAACGAGATTGGTGTATTTTGTATAAAAATATGAAGCTTTTTTTAGCATAAAGTCAAAATAAATATTGAAACAGAATATACAGTAAATATCAAAATGATCCATTACTTTCAGACATGAATATTAATTAATAATTTCTTATAGATGAAAAATAGTTTCACCACTAATTTTGTAGTCTAGCATTCAGAATAACTTCCTCTACTCAGGCAATTTGTCAGAATCAATAAACATTAATTTTCTATTATTTTAGATGGGGGAGGGTCTTATTTTCAAGATATATATATATATATATATATATATATATATATATATATATGAGAGGGGAGAGAGAGAGAGAGTTTGTCTGACAATTGCAAAGCATGAAACCCAGGGTCACAAACTCACATCAATCCAACCAAATATGTTAGCTCTATCTCTGACATTGAGCTTTCTAATAAGTACATGTCATGTTGGCAGATTAGTTGATCAAGGTCCTGGAGTGTGTTGATTCATTGTGAGGTACACTGATTACCGGTTGTGACAAGAGAAGCGATCATGGCAGAGATGGCAACAATGAACCTGTGTACTGACAGATGGCCTTTCAGTCTGCAACTGTGTCAGCCATTATGAGGGCTTTTTAAGCAAATCTAATGGTTCACAGGAATTTTTTTTTGGTCAGGAACATTCATGATTAGTTATTCTATTTTATTATGGGGATTTGTTTTTGTGGACAGGATGTGATGTTCTCAGCTCCTGTAGAAAACATTTTTTTTTATTTCATGTTTTGCTTTCTTAGTTTTTTACATCCAGCCAACATGTAGCGTGAATCAGAAAGAGATCTAATTGCAGTCAAGTATAACATTTCTTTTATGGTTCAAACCATTTTTTCTAATTTTTGGAGAGAATTTGAACATAAACTATACAATGTCTTCTGGTGTCAATAAGAGATTGTATTTCATGTAGTTTGTTTCCCTTGACCAACAAGAGTAGCATTATTAACTTGATGTTATATTTACTCATCTAAATCCATTATAAAAATTCAGGATATGGAATTAGTAAATACTAAACACTTCAAATACATCAATGTATAGATCAATTATAACAACTTTAGTTCAGGAAATAAGGAAATTGAACATAGAATAGGCTGCATTATGGGTAGCTTTGCTCAACACTGCAATTTGCTACAAAACATTAACACAAAACCTCAAATCATGTTCTTAAATAGTCTTGTCAGATCGAGACTTTCATGTAGATGTCATGCATGGTGGCAAACCTGTTCAGAAATATCTAAATTGTCAGTTGTATACAACTACTTTCTCAGATCAACAATTAAAAGTTGGCTTCTAGTAAATGAAACCTCTAAGTCTTAACAAGGACCATTCTTTTTCAATTCTCACAGACTGTCACTATAGAATCACAAACAAAGAACTGTATCAAATAACAGAAACCATATCACTTGATGACTACCAACAGCAGCAACAATTAAAATGGATATCAAATTAAGCTTGCAAAGAAAATAATGACATAATCAAGATGTTGACATTCCACACTAACTTCAAACAAAAAGTTAGGAAGGAAATTATTTTCCGAAAAAATTGTATTAAGAGAAAAATTTTATAAATTTCAACTGATGGCTGCTGTCAATGAATGCTGAATGTTTCCTTATAAGGAAACAACAAATAATATCATTATGATTAGGCTCAGAGGATATTGCCTTCAGAATATGGAAAACTGAACAATGTCACTTGATGAGATAAGTCATATTTCCAGCCCTTTTAGACATATTATAAAATTCATATATGGAGAAGACCCCATGATATTATGGATCCAGCCTGTCAGTAGCGAATTGTACAAACTTTGCAGTGGGTGTCTTCAATGGCAAGGTCTGTGTTACATTCAAATTTGCAAAGACCACTTATGAAACAGGAGTGTCCTGAAAGATATAAACATGTTGTTGGTATGGGAGTATATAATATATAAATTCTATATATTAGACTAAAGGTGATAAAATGGAAAAAATCTACTGTAATATATTTCATCCTTCAAAAGAACTTGATTAAATAATGATTTTATTGATGGAATCACACACACACACACACATACATATATATATATATACATGTAAAATCCATGGTAAGTAATACAAGTGAATCCTAGTAATATAAAAATATTAAAACTGACCCACAGAAGAGAGCTCAATATATCTTTTTTTTCTCTCTTTATCTTTCTCTTCCAGCTTTTTTAAATACATTTGCTCTTAGTTGTAAATTTCCTCCTTTTCTTCCCATTTACAAAAAACATTATGATTTATTTTTTTATCTAACTCCTTGGTGTTGCCAAGCCTGCTCTGGGTGAAATGGTTATATATCATGTGGGGTATTGAATTTTATCTACTTGTAATTCATATATATATATATATATATATATATATATATATATATATATAGGAGGAGGAACAAGAATATAAACAAATGTCAGTTATTAAAAAATTGAGAATAAGATTAAAGATGTAGGGACACTTAACTTTAAATTTCTTGAATCTGATGTTTCAATCCCATTAAGCTTCTTATTGCTGTTGTTATTTAAGCATACCACATTGTAATAAGAATGATTTGTTAAGAAATGCAAAGTGCTGTACGAACCTGAATGTAAATTTATTATGGAATACTCAGGAATTAATTCACTTTCTATACATTTTTGCCTTAATAAATTACTTACTCTTAATTAAATCCACATTCTTATAAACTGCATTATTTTGTCTGAAGTCATCCTTTTCAAAGACGAAATGGTATGTTTTTTTTTGCATTTTGTCATTCAATTACCCACTATTGGTGCAATGATATGTGCTCCTCTCATTATTGTTATAGTCATCAGTAGTGATGTGGTTCTAATAAAATAAGGACAACACCAACCACGCACACACCTCACTGTGTATGGATGGTTTTAAACTGGTTCCAAGAACACTTGGCTGATTTCCAGGTACTATCTTAGCACTCTTTATGTGCCAGATTTAAACCCCATTAAACATGTATGAGACAGATCTCTATATTCCCTGCAGCCACACACAATAAACACAACCCTGTTATGGACAGATCTGGAACAATTCTGGATAATTTCTGTCTAAATTTCTGGGATTAGGATTTATTTATATTATATACATTTAGACTAATCTCCTCATCTTTGTTGTTGTTATCACAATGTTTTTGGCCAATGTACTATCTGGTTTTCTTCAGATGTCTGTCAATCTAGGTAACCTTCATGGAAATTCAAACTGAACACTTTATTTAATCTATGGGGTAGATTGTTCTCACTCCATTGTCTGTCTATAGATATCTTATCATGTTCATATTTAGTTCTGCTCAGTTATTGTTCACACTATTTCCATGGGACAATAGTCTATTGATTAGATGAATTTAGTGGCATAATAATTATGAATTCAATTTTTGAAGAAGGTCAGAAGACACAGCATCTGAAACATTGTGATAATGACAATAATGAGGTCATTAGTCCAAATGTAAATAATCTCTGGATAGATATATGCATGCAACCAATCCAATATCTTGTACATCCCATGCCATGTCACATATCCATCATTATTCAGGCAAACAGAAAAGCTATACAGTATACCTTTTTTACTTTAGTTTATACCCCTGCCCACACCCTAGAATGTTACATATTATAGTTGGATTCACCCAGTACAAGGCTTTGGTAATGATTAATAAGGTGCATAATATGAATGAAAAGAGGTAAGAAGTGAAGATTTATGAGGATAAGGAGGATAGATAATGATTGATTTTTGATTTGAAGAGGTTAAGATTGTAGAAAGGAAGCCTTCATGCAGGTGTCTTTTTCCACAAAGTGGCAAATGGATAAAAAGCTCTCTGAGTGAAACTGTTTTTGAAATTTTGGAACAAAAAGGAAGTGAGAGTGGAAATAGCATGACATGTTCTAGCTGTAAAGGTCTGAACTGGTAGAACTAAAGAATAGAGTGCTCATCCAGACATTTGCCATAGAAATAGTGATAGTGAGTAGCAATAGGCTTGCAATGTTACATATGTGGGAAAGCAACTGCAGGGTGTAGAATGTCTTCCTCCAAAGACCACATAAAATGATTTTGAACTTTATCAAGGCTGAAAGTAGCATTGAGAAGCTCCATCTCGGATATGGCAGAAATGCAACATTTTGGAGATAAAGCTTGGCAGAAGGAGCCAGGTACTTCTTGGTGCAATAGAATGAGCCAATCATTTTCCAGCTTCTTTAGCAATGGATCATATAAGAGTTCCACATCATCAAGTCTGAGTAGACTCAAGACCCAATAGACATTCAAAGCATGTAGTTTTATGCAACCATTCATGGTGACAGAAGAAAACTCAGAGTCTGAATGATGAAGATAAAATCATATTAACTTGATTTTTGAGGCAAAAAAGTTACAGGCCAGTTTTTCCCCTCTATTGAGCTGCTAGAATTAGGTTAGAAGAGAGATCAACTGCAAGGCCACAATCAGCCATGTTATTCCTACTTCAAAGATAAACAAATTTTCCACAAGTTGCATTAACTTTGCAGATGATAGTTTTAGGGAAGACACTGAATCAACTTCCAAAACAAGCAGACATTTACCTTTTTGGACTTTTTCACAAAGAAGAAAAACTTCTTCATTGCCAGTGCAACATCCACCACACTTGTCCATGCGACAAATCTTTAGTGCAGCTGCACCTGGAGATTCTAAAAAAAAGAAAGAAAAAAATAAAATTAAAAAATTGTAGTTACCAGAGAGAGGTTGAAAATTTTACAATTATCTGACTGTTAATAACTCAATTTACCTATAAAATAATTACCGTATATACTCGCATATCACATGACTTTTGTAGACCTAATTTTGAACCTAATTTTAAGGGAGTAGCATCATACACAAGATATAAAATTAGCATATGTGCTGCTATGCTATTAACCAAATTATATCATTTACTGTAGTCAAAAAGTACAGCTGTATTTAAAATAAACATGATTTTGATAAAACTGATGTTTTACTTCATTGTGTCCAATAATAATAATGCATGTAATATTCACATATTAGTATCATATTATAAAATACAAACATAGCAAATATGCGTCTTTTCCATTGTTTAAATTTATAAGATGATTAGCTGTTTCTTGTTCAGTTGTTTATGGCTGCATGCATTTACACAATGAGTATAGTGTTACTAATGATACTTTTATCACTCTCTTACTTTTTTAAGTTAACTAGAAGATGGGATAAAGAGATAAACTACTTATAAAATTTATAATATCCATATTATATATACTAATAAAATCTACAATAACCATATTATATATCATATATAACACACCTCTGTTTTACAAAACCAATTTTGGTCTCACATTGTTCTGGTAAGTTCATAGTTCCTTAACATCAGTCTATATTTCTGAGATGAGTTCTTGTAACTATACAATTTACATCAGTCAGACTGTTGTCTTCATCTTTATTACCATATTAACAACATTGTGGCCCCAAGGATACATGGCCCAGTGGATAAAAGTGTTGAGTAATCCAAAGAGTGAATTGACCCAAAGAGTTACGAGTTCAATACCTGGTCACAGCACTTGGGAACAAAAAAACTTGGAGACTTGAGTTACTAAAGGGAATTAATTGAATCTGAGAACTTCTAGTGTGAATGCCAAGCAGTACAGCATGCCATTTCCAAATTTCTGGCAGAGTGAATTGTGTCACAGACAGTGCCAAACTGACCCTACAGTTGACAAAATCAAAAACAAACATGCATGCATGAAATTAAAAATATAAAATAGCAATAATTTACCCATCACACCGTGTGTGTGTGTATTATATATATATATATATATATATATATATATATATATATATATATATATATATAAATATGACAAACTGGAAAGGTTTTTGTGATGCATTTTATCCATTAGGAATTCATTGGATGGATGAAACATGCCAGAAAAAATCTTTCCAGTTTGTCATATTTTTCTAAATACAGTCTGTTTATTATATATATATATATATATATATATATATATATATATATATATATACACACTTATTATAAATAATTTTAAACATTATTATTATTTTGCAAATTTGTTTTATACTTACTGCTATCATATATAGGGTTTGAAATAACTGATGGTAGCATTATGGTTAGATTACCATTTTTGTCTTGTAAATAAGCCTGAAAACAAAGCCTCACCACATTTAAATGCATGCTTTTTGCCTGTGTATCAGCCTGTTCTTTAGCAGTTTTTTTTTCTGTGTCTGGAAAATAAAAATAGAAGAAATTCAAAAGACTTCTTTAAAAATCCATACAAACAAAGTACATGAAGCAAAAACAAAATAACATTAATTTGTAATATTTTACATTATTCGGACTATTGTCCTCATCTTTGTCGCCATGTTTATCACAACATTTCAAGGACACATGGCACAGTGGATAAAGGCGTTAGTTAGATCCAATGACAGGACCCAATACCTGGTTAAGGCAGTGGAGAACTTTCAGATGGGAATTAACAGGAGATAACTGACATCCATTAGACATGGCACATGGAACTAGAACAGTCTACCTCAGTTAGCAAAATAAGGGGTTCAGTTCAACATTCCAACCACCTGAAGAAGGCTGGAGCGTACAACGGCCGAAACGTTGTGATAAACATGGCAACGAAGATGAGGACAATAGTCCGAATAATGTAAATAGTGTAGAGAAGTATTCTCATCCAAAACAAATTTACTTTTCAGGAATCATACCTCATTAGAGAAAATACAGTTTGTTTTTGTTTTTTATTTTAGTTGTTATTAAGAGTCCCATATAACATTCCTCCTCTTGAAATCCCAGGTTCCTTTAACGGCTCTCTGATTTTGAATTGTCATCTAGTAATTTTTTCATTTTTACAGTGAAAATTATTAAAATAATTTATGAAACCAAATTACTTTATTAATCAAATAAGGAAAGAAATCCTGGTTTCAATGGATGATAAAACTTCAACTGAATTTAATGCCTAATTCTTCTCCTGGCTAAAATTACACACCCATATGAGAATCTCTGTTTTAAAAGAATAATATATTGTTGAACAGCTGTGATGAGAGAGAGAGAAAAATAGTAGAAATTGATGCGGTGGTGAAGGGGGAGAAGGTAAAAGAGATTAAAAGTTGCAGAGTCACATGATGCATGTAAAAGAACTCATATCATCCAGATACTTCCCATTTTATAGTACCACAAAAAAGCCACTTTTTTTTTTCAATAAATAAAAATAAAATTGCAATAAAATTAAAAACTTAAAGGATTTACCATTTAATTGGATATTTTCATCATTAACATTTCCACTGCAAATGCGTTTGTTCAAAAGCATAGACTCTAAAATGCGTTCTTTCAGGACATCAGCCACTTTACGTTTCGTCACATGCATTACTCCAATATTTTGAAACCTTAAAATAATAAAAAATAATAATAATATAAAAAATACATATTTTATTTTAGTTTATTAATCAGTAGTACCCTAAAAAATAAGGTAATAAATATAAAAAAATGCATACTTTGTGTTTATTAGTCTATAGTAACCCCCAAAAAATACTAAGTATAAAAAAATACATACTTTGTTTCATATTTTTAATCAGACTAAACAAAATATAATAATAAATAAATATAAAAAATACATAATGTTTTTAATTCTCAGAAAAAAAATTATAGTAAATAAATATACAAAATACATACCACACGTTAAAAATTAAAAAGAGAGAGAAAGGAAAAAAAAGAAAGGCGGAAAAAAGAAAGGAGGAAAAAAGAAAAAGAAAGAAAAAAGAAAAAAAGAACAAAAATAGAAAGAAAAAGAAAAGATGAAAAAAAAAGAAAGAAAAAAGACAAAAATAGAAAAAAATGTACCCCCTACCCAAAGAAAACGACATGAGGCAACAATGGATTTGTTTTATGAGCAATATCCACACTGAATGATAACTCAGATTTACAAGTACACAAAGTTTAGTTAAATTATTGTTTCCCTTTGCCAATGAAGTTTGTAAGGTCTTAGTGAGAACCATCCTTATTTGAACCTTATCAACTGGTGCTACAGAATCACAAATATAAAAACTGTAACAAGTAACAGAAACCACATCAATTGAGGATTTTACATAACAGTAACAACTAAAATGAATATTGTATGTAACTTGAAGAGAAAATAATGACATTCCACACTACTTCAAACAAAACGTTATAATATAATATCAATACTGGAAAGAGCAATAACAGTGGAATTGGAAAAGCAACTTTCCTGAAAAATTGCTTGAAGAGAAAAATTTTATAAATTTCAGTCAAAAGTAACACTGGTTGATCGGTTAATATATGTTGAATACTTCCTTATAAAGAAACAGCTAATATTACCATTACCAATTGCAATAAAAATAATTACTAGATTGGCAACTAGGTATCAATCACTGTTTTACTGTTGAACAAGTTAGATAGAACTGTCTCTTCTATTCTAAGAGGTTCTTTTCTTACACTTCTTGCCTCTTGAAATCCTTATTGATTTTTTGCTTCCCTACAATCTTTAAAAATCTAAATGCAATAAAATCACCATCTGTCTTGCTGAATCCTGTTCCTTTATTCACTAAAATCTTCTCGTTATGTTTCACTCACTGTAACCTATTGTGTCCTATTGGCATTATCACTTTGACGAGGTGAAATGATGAAAAAAAAAAAAGTTACATGTCATCATGACTGTGGGTTTGAGTGTACAGATAAACCTCTCATCAATGGACTAATAGGAAGATGGGGATGTCCATTAATTGTTCGTAGATGGGAAGGGATTATTTTTGAGTTAGAAAACCGCTATAGTAACTATCAGTAGTCATGACTAAAAATTTTTTATATATATATATATATATATATATACATACACACACACACACACACAGAATAAAATCCCAAATCACCTCATATGGATTTTATTTTGTATTAATTTCTGCTCTATAATAAAAAATACATTGAGATATTTTTGATGGGGATGTCCAGTTTTAATATTTTATATTTTTGAGGATGAAAACTATAGTAATTATATAGTCAATAAAATTTATTATATTATATATATATATATATATATATAATATTATACACACACACACACATACGAATAAAATCCCAAATAACCTCATAGATTTTTATTTTGTAATTCTGCTCTATTAAAAAAAATTGAGATCTTTTTGTGGATGTGTTTGCATTTTTTAACTAGGTGAGAATTATATACAATATTGAACAATATATATTTTAATATAGCAAAATGCTTACAAAAAATAAAAAAAACAGCCATATGGAGTCTGCATCTTACGAGGAAACTGAGAGGAGTAACTATTTAAAGCAGAAGGACGGGAAACATCTTACGAGGAACTGAGAGGGTAAAGAACTATTTAGTAAGAACAATATTATTTGTTGATATCTGTTTTGGGCAGTGAAGGAATGTTGGGACATTAATACAAGGGCATCTGCACGATATCAAAAGCTGTAGCAGACACTTCTGCTTTGTCTTAAACTTTTAGGGTCACGCCTTTGTAATTAACGCCTCAACATTCCTTCACTGCCCAAACAGATATCAACAAATAATATTGTCTTACTCAGTCATCCTTTCCTTTCCTTTACCTCTCTCAGTTTCCTTAAATTTTCTTTTTTTTGTAAGCGGTTTGCTTGTAAACAGAATTGTTCATAAGCATTTCATCGAAACAAGAATACATATTTGCAGTGAGCAAAGAGTTTTTGTCCATATGTAAAAATTATAGTAAATATATATATATATATATATATATATATATATATATATAGATAGATAGATAGATAGATAGAGAGAGAGAGAGATCTATATAGATATTTACAAACGCTCTCTCTCTGATATTGAGCACTTTATCTCATAAATATAGCACATCTTAAGACTATATTTCTTCATATATAGATATAGATATGTATATGTAAATAAAAAGAAAGAACAGTAAGATATATAACCTGGTGTTCTTATAGATATTTTTATTTTTACAAAATAGTGCTCAATGTAAATTTACAGAGGATTAATATTATAAATTAATTGATTTAAAATATGGTTTTTCCGCTACACAGTTCTAACCATGTTTCAAAAATGGAAGGTAAAAAGCTTTGAATTTAATTTTGTAATTAAAGACGTCAGTTCCATTTCATCCTCAAGCGAATTTTGGAGTAACTTTTAAAATTACTGTGTTTTAAAGGCACAGCAAAAAATCACAATTCACGTTTCCAAGGATACAGAGAAATCCATTCATCCAGACAAGGGGTGGTTGTGTGTTCATTATCGCTGTATTTTGATGTATCAGTTATTAGTTACGTTTTGGTAGGGGTAGGCATGTATTTTTCAATGAATTCTGACATATGTTAAATGCATGTTGTCTGGATTTTTTTTTAAATTTATTGTTAACAGCAAAAATTCTTACGGCATTTTTTCTATTTGTATACTTAAAGATTTTTGGAAGGTGTTTAGGTTAGAATACGTTTTATTTAACTACAATTTGAAAAATATTTTCACTTTTAATTTTTAATATACTATATTTCTTTTTAGAACAAGTAAATGTATTAGAATCACTTACAGTATGTAGAATTATTTTCACATGAAGTATAAGTATATATATTACTAGGTCACAAGTTTTTAAAAAATTTATATTTAAATATTATTTAAGTAAAATTTATGACAATGACGGCAAAAATAGCTAATTAATTTCTCTGAGTTAGTAAACTTATTTTTTTATATAAACCTAGTAATATACTGTTTCTCATGTAAGTACAAAGGACATGGGTCATTCAATGGCTTACATCTAGCTTTTCATATTAATTTCATTTTACTGTAGCTGTCTTATTGGATTCTTTTAAGTGCTTGTAGTACTTTGAGAGAGGTGTTTAGGTTAGAATATGTTTTATTTAACTACAATTTTAAAAGATGTTTGGGTTAGAATTCGTTTTATTTAACTACAATTTTAAATACAACTTTAAAATATTTTCACTGTTAGTTTTAATAGACTGTATTTCTTTTTAAAAGAAGTAAATGTATTAGAATTACTTACAGTAAGTAAAATTATTTTTCCATATCAAGTATAAGTATGTATATTATGATTTTTTTAAATTTTATATTTAAATATTATTTAAGTAAAATTTATGACAATTATGGCAAAAATAGCTAATTAATTTTTCTGATTTAGTAAACTTTTTTTTATAAACTTAGTAATATATAGTTTCCCATGTATGTACAAAGGACATGGGTCATTCAATGGCCTACATCTAGCTTTTCATATTAATTTCATTTTACTGTAGGTGTTTTATTGGATTCATTTAAGTGCCGGTAGTACTTTGAGAGAGGTGTTTATGTTAGAATACGTTTTATTTAACTACAATTTTAAAAGATGTTTAGGTTAGAATTCATTTTAACTACAATTTTAAATACAACTCTAAAATATTTTCATTGTTATTTTAATAGACTATTTTTTTTTATAAAACAAGTAAATGTAATAGAATTACAGTATATAAAATTATTTTTTCACATTAAATATAAGTATGTATATTCCCTGGTCGTACTTCTTAAATTTATTTTTATTTTAAAATATTATTTAAGGAAAATTTTTGACAATGACGGCATAAAATAGCTATTTCATTTCTCTGATTCAGTAAATTTTTATTTTTTATAAACTTAGTAATATATAGTTTCTCATGTATGCACAAAGGACATGGGTCGTTTAATGACCTACATATTCTAGCTTTTCTTATTAACTTCCATTTTACTGTAAGTGTTTTATTTGATTCTTTTAGGTGCCAAAAGTACTTTGAGAGAGATGTTTGATTTTTATATTTATTTATCCTAAATGAACTTTGATATTGATTGAATCTTTTTTTGAACTCATGGCTAGTGCAACCTATGTGACATGATCCTGCTGTCACGGTACCAAATGTGACGTCACCCTGGCCTCTCTGCCCCCGTGCTATCCTGTGATGACCAATGTGACTTGGTATTGGTTGCAGCGCCAAATGTAACGTGATCCTGTTGTCACGGCACCAAATGTGACGTTCTAACCCTTGGCTGATTCGGATGGGAATCTGGTTAGATTCGGTATTAGCGTTGTCATTCCCAGCTCGCCTCCAACATCTGGTTACCGAAGTAACTGCTTTGATTTCTAGTCTAACCTACCCACATTGTGATTTGATCTTAGGTAGATGAAATCAATCAGTTGCCGGGCTGTAATGCAAGCCAAATTCGAGCGAAGGTGACATTGCACAAGTATATGTAAAAGAAAATAAAGTAACAACTCGAAAAGTTCAAATGTGTTAAAAAAAGAATAACAAATATTTTTATATCTGGTTGCTGAATACAGGACTGCGTCTTTCTCCCAACCCGCTTCTATGGATACATGATACTTTGCGTTTGTTAGGCGAG